GGAGGATGAGGAGTTCAAGGCTAGCCTGATCAACATAATGAAAGCCTGTTCTTCTTTGATGCTTTGAGACCGAGCCCCACGTAGTATATACTGGCATCAAACTCAATAGTATCAGAGGATGACTATGAACTCTTGATCTTCCTGCCTACATGCACCATCATGTGAGGTGAGGCAGAACGCAGCGAGTTGATAGATGCTAGGAGAGTTACTGCAGGTAATCCACATGCACCAGCAGACCTGACAAATGCTTTTTCTCTTTGTGGTTCCAAGGATTGAACACGGGTTCTTATGCATGCTAGGTAAGCTTTCTACCACGACACTATTGCTGCAGCCTCTAATTTGCCCAATAGTCTGGGTTTTTTTTTAGTTCTCCTGACCATTGGCAAATAGTTTTTTTTCCAATCCTTTATTATTATTATTATTATTATTATTATCATCATCATCATTATTATTATTATTTGTTTTTTTGTTTGTTTTGAGAGAGGGGGCTCTCTACAAAACCCTGGCAGTCCTAGAACTCACTATGTTGACCAGGCTCACCTTAAACTCACAGAGATCTGCCTGCCTCTGCTTAACAAGTGATGGGCTTAAAGGCAAGGACAACCACCTCTGGTCCAATCTTAATTATTGACATTAATTTTCAGATCATAGACTACACACAAAGATTACATTACAGAATGGCCAACAATGGGTTAAAGAGGCCACAGGGTTCAGAAGTACCTTACTGAATGAAGGCAGAACGCAGCGAGTTGATTGATGCTAGGAGAGTTACTGCAGATGCTTAGATTAATACAACAACTAATGTTGCCACAGTTCCAGCATGGGTTGTTGAAGCTCAGGAGGTTCCAGATGCTAAATTGATGGGGATGGGGGAGTGTTTCACACTTGCAATTCCACTATTTGAAAGGCAGAGGTAAGTACAACAAAGTCTAGGCCAGCCTGCTCTATTGTATAGTTACTCCCTGGCCAGACAGAGCTACACTAGTAGATTCTGTCTTAAAGAAAAATAATGAGGCAGGGTGGTGGCAAAATCGTGGTGGGGATGGTGAGTGAGTTCTAGGCTTACTAGGTTCCCAGAAAAGACACCTTGAGCTGTCTTTGTCAGGCAATCCATGTAAGCTAAAACCCTTAGGGCCCTGAGGACAGAAGCAGGCATTTGTGGCTTGTGGATAGCTTGATGATGGGTGAAGTCTGAATCGATGTTAGGAGCCCTCCTATTGTATGATCCAAGTGAAGAAGTTGCATCATTCAGTGGTTTGGTGTGTTTGATAAGTTTGTGGGCCTGGTCTCTCTGATACAGTTCCCATATACCTATGTGTTTTCTGATTAAATTTGATAAAGCCTATCAAATTAAGTGGTAGATAGAGCAGAGACGTCCTGATCTCTATTTCACATGTGGTATTAGAGCTTTGCAATACCAGCACTCGAGAGGCTAAGGCAGGAGTGTTAAAAGTTTCAGCTTAGGGTTGGAGAGATGGTTCAGTGGTTAAGAGTACCAACTGCTCTTCCAGGGGACCTGGGTTTGATTCCCTGCACCCACATCATAGCTCACAACTGTCTCTAACTCTAGTTCTAGGGGACCAAAACATTAATGCACATAAAATTAAAATAAGTAAATTATAAAAAAAAAAAATAGAGTTTAAGCCTAGACTGAACTACAAAATGAGCCTCAAGCCAGCACCAGCTATATAATGAAACTATCTCAAGATTAAGAATTAAAATAAAAAAAAAAATTTTTTTTAAGGACAGTTTCTCGGTGTAGCTTTGGTGCCTGTCCTGGAACTCACTCTGTACACCAGGCTGGCCTCGAACTCACAGAGATCTGCCTGCCTCTGCCTCCTGAGTGCTGGGATGAAAGGTGTCCACCACTACCACCTGGCTAGAAAAAAAAAATATTTTTAATGTGGTTTATTTTCTTCATAATCTTCTTGAGGTTTGTTTGTTTGCCTATGGGTTTTTTGTTGTTGTTTGTTTGTTTTTTGAGACAGGGTTTCTCTGTGTAATAGTCCTTGCTGTCCTGGAACTCGATTTGCAAACTAGGCTGGCCT